TAAAATTAGAAGTAGCATTAGAATAGAGAAAATATTGAGGACTCAGCTGCTTGGATTGAGCTGGGCAGGTCATTCCACCAGGAGGGAACAGTTCATGTAGAAGACCATGAAAGTTTTATCATAGGTAGAATGCAGAATGTTTCAATACAAGCATTTCAGTCAAATGTAATTTATGCAATATTTCAAACCTTTAACCCACTTGGGAAAATCAACCCATGTTAAAATGGGTATTTTAACATAGCTTTGTGTGTATGTGTCCGTTCAAACGCAAAAAATCAGCGCGCGAGTCCCGATTCGAGTTCTCTTAAAATTCCTTGAATGTGTAAATTGGCAATACAAAACACGTGCAAATGATAAACTTTCACTCTATGATGGTTAGACTTAACAGTTAATCCACGAATCATGTGTGCCGAACCGCGGGACCTGGGGTGTGTTTCCCAAAAGCATCATTAGCTAACTATGGTTGTTAGTTCCATTGAACTCTATTGGTAACGACAGAACTTGCGACAATAGTTTCTTTTGGGAAACGCACCCCTGGTCCATACGGATCACCGATCAGCTAGGACCCGTTGCACCCCTATTTTAAGTATTTTTAATATTATAAATATTAATATGTTTTAACATAATTATAATATTTCAAATATAAAAGTATGTGAAAAAAATTTTTTCTGCCCAAATCAAAGGCATGTAGTGTGAACAAAAACAATGACAATGCAATTATATCATAGAGAGAACTCTTGCAGACTCCTTATGAATATTTGTAAATAAGTTTCTGAAAATATCATATAATTTGACCTATTTATGTGGCAAAGTTAGTTCCGTTTGTAAAATGTAATGTGGTACAAACTCACTAAAAAAGTTGGTATTTATGAAATAATAATTCATGAAAAAATGATAGTGGTTCATGAAAAAATAAATATATATATATTTTTAAAACTTTCTTTGAAAGCAATTGTGACCCTGCCTGTGAAAACCCAGCTAAAGTCATTTTTTTGTGATTTACTGTTTTCTACATAAAATCGTCCTTCGTAAAGATGTAAAGAACATTGTGAAAATACCTTTATATATTTAATATTGACTGAGTAAGGCCATGTCAAAGATTGAAATCTTAGTGAGATTAATTGTTGAAATCAAACTTTGATGCTGATAAATATCTCATAATTAGATTTTGAGACTTTAGCTTGGATTTCACAGACAGGGTCACAATTATTAAGATGTGAATTATGTATTTAAGAAAAATAAAATAGAAAAAAAAAATTTTTTCTCTTTTTTTACCTTATGGTTACACCACATGACATTTTCAGAGTCCAAAAAATTGAAACTTTTCTTGAAAACAGTAAGTAAGTTTTTCAAAACCAAATGAAATCAGCTTAAATACATTTCTAAGATCTTGACATGTTTTTAACTAGACTTTTTAAAAATACTTTTCCATTTCTTGGACTTTCTAATATGTCATTGACATTTGTTTTTAATTGAACTCTCCAAAATACATTTGTAGATAGTTGTCCGGTGTTTCAGATTAGAAAACTGTCAACCGTTGCCTTAGTGGAGAAGCCTCCAAAGGCGCACGTCACTGACTTGAATGTGTTTCCACAGATGGATGAAAGTGAAGAAGTAGAAGAAGTGCCAATCATGAAGCCCTCAGACGCACGTGAAAGTTCAGCATCACCTGCAGCATTAGCTGGGGAACCAGAAACTCAAGCGGAGCATCTCAAAGCCGCCCAACAGGAAGCACCAGGAGCTTTTTGTCGCTCACCAGCACCTGAGGAAGAGCGTCCAGGGCCTAGCTCCACGGCTGTCCCTGCATCCTCATCCCACGTCTTCATCCTCGACTCCGAGTCACAGGACAAACACGACAGCCAAACGAGAGGAACTCCCTCCAACGACTTGGTAGAACATGTCGAGGACTTGATGACAAAGACCAAGAAAGATCTGGTTGAGGTGACCAAGGCACTGTGGAAAGCCAGTGGTGACCTCGCTAGGGCTCAGGCGTATCTGCTAGATGGGTACGACCGTGAGATTCACAGGCCTGTCTGGACCCATCTAGATGATGAGATCCTCCTGTTGGCTGACCCATATGAACTGGAGCAGCTTCAGTCCAAATACGGAGAGGAGGAAGTGACCAGGAGAAGAGACTTCCTCACGGCTGGCATTAACTGAGAGGATTTGTTTTCTAAAACCAGCAGCTCAACTAGATGGAACTAGTTACAATAATACTGTTTTCACCCAATTTTGTATTCTCAGTTTGGTAAAAATTCAGATTTATATTGATAAATTTATAAAATAATTTTGCTAATCATTACATTGTTAAATATGTATTAAAGTATTTTTTTCTAACTGATGGTGTATCATTGTGTTAAACAATATTTGACCCTGGAGCACAAAACCGGTCTTAGGTCGCTGGGGTATATTTGTAGCAATAGCCAATAATACATTGTATGGGTCAAAATTATACATTTTCATTTTATGCCAAAAATCATTAGGATATTAAGTAAAGATCATGTTCCATTAATATATTTTGTTAATTTCCTACCGTAAATATATCAAAACCGAATTTTTGATTAGTAATATGCATTGCTAAGAACTTCATTTGGACAACTTTAAAGATGATTTTCTCAATATTTTGATTTTGTTGCACCCTCAGATTCCATATTTTCAAATAGTTGTATCTCGGCCAAATATTGTCCTATCCTAACAAACCATACATCAATGGACAGCTTAGTTATTCAGCTTTCGGGTGATGTATACATCTCAAATGCAAAAAATCGACCCTTATAATAATAATAATAATATGTTTGATGCCAACCCCTCAGAGGACCTCAGATGATGCCAACCCTGAAACAACATACAGAACTACCATAAGTTTGTATAGTATAAGTTTGATTGCATCATATAATAATTGCTGTTAATAGTGTTCATCGTCTGTTTGATTACGTCTTAAATTGATTTTTCCGTACATTTGCTGTAAAGTTGCTTTGCAATGATTTGTATCGTGAAAAGCGCTGTACAAATAAACTTGACTTGACTTAACA